CTTGACTCTTGCAAAAAACGGGCGCCAAAGCATAAATAGCTTAAAAGTAATGGTGAATTAGGCATAGGCTCTTGAAAACTGTGTTCGGCCACCTTAATGAATTAGTTTTCCGTTCATTGGAAGAAAAAAAAAGGAGTCACTCAGCACAACAAAACTGTCACTTGTCTGTGTTGCGCAAAGTCGATCCGCGTCACAAGATGGATTGTAATTTGTGTTTGGCTTAAAAAACACCCTTGAGACTTTTAAACTTAAAGGAAATCAATTTTGGTTTGGTCTAAAGATGATTTAGACTTACAAGAGAATTTCGTGTCTGAGGCTGGAATCTTTAGCTAGTTATTGTTTTTGTTTTTGGGCGGGAGTTGGGGTGGGGACAAATGTCAGAGTTTTTCTTTGTGTGTGACCTAAAGCGAAGGCTTGATGTAATGCCAGGTCCTAGATAACTATGCGTTCTTGCAGCAAAAACAAGATAAAAACTGAAACAAAACCAAAATAACAACTGTCCAGGGCACTTTTCATATCGCCCATATTAACAGCGTCTTTTGACTACCATCTCTCATGGCCTGTTGTCATTTTTATCAATTGATAACAGGTTGTTCGAGCAAGCCTCAGGAAAGTATGCAAGTGTCATGGCGTCACCGGAGGTTGTAATTTGAAAACCTGCTGGAAGCAACTGGCCCCCTTTAACGTGATTGGATCAGAACTAAAACGGAAATACAGCTCAGCTGTCCGTGTATCATTCCTGAACAACAAGCTTCACAAACGAGACAACAAACGAGACAGACTGGTGACTAAAAAAGAAAAGAAGCTGGTCTATCTCGACTCTTCCCCAGACTACTGTGTACGGAACGCGACCGCCGGCTCGCCTGGAATGCTGGGAAGGACATGCCAAGGTGAAAATTCATCCTCTGAGGAATGCAGGTCTCTTTGTAACTCTTGTAATCTGCGACACCGAACAGTAGAACATAAGAAGCAAGTCAAGTGTAGATGTAAGTTCGTGTGGTGCTGTACTGTTAAGTGTAAGGTTTGCACCGTGAAGTTTTCGCTCACAACTTGTGTGTAATATAGGTTAGGATAAAAACCGTTTCACTTATCACTTCTATAGTTCATTAAGTTACAGTTTGATTCAAGCTCCTTTCAGAATCTTGGGCGAAATATTAATGCTATTTTTTAGACTCGTTTTTACACGGTTAAAGGTTTTTGTGGATAGTTCTTCAGTAAGACAAAGTAGCTTTGAAATTGGATGTATTGTGTGACCTAGTCACTAAGCGGTAATTTTAACAAGTTTTATCATTGATGTACTAAGTTATTTTCGCGATAATAAAACATGTAAGGTGGTCTATTTGTTTTTTCTTTTTATGTGCGGTGGGGAATATTTCGGGTTTACCTGTTAGTTTGCCCTCAATTTACCCCAACCAAGGCCCAGACCTTCCCCACTATTAAATTCAAGCCGGGAATTCAAGGAAGCATGTGAACTGGGTTCAAAATCAAACTATCCTTTTGGAGAGACGAACAAAAGACGTTTCCCGAAAGAACAGAGTAGTGAAAATTCATACTTATCTTTTTCTGGTTATGCATACAGTGTTTGAAGGCGTCTCCATCTCGCCACAATTCGTTTATGTTCGAAGCTAATTTTAATTGATGTAACCGTACTTTCCATCGATTTGTAGAGGTTGTCTCCGTGGCGCAATCGGTTAGCGCGTTCGGCTGTTAACCGAAAGGTTGGTGGTTCAAGCCCACCCGGGGACGACTTTTTTTTCTGCACAAAAGTGTGATTCAATACAGATATGAAGTGCTTTAAATCAAAATATTTTGAATTTCAATAATTATTTTATAATTATTCTGGCGTCGATTTCACTAGTTTCACCAGTGTTTCCTGTGTATTTCTCAATACGTCCTCACTTCTTAAAGGTTCCAAACGTTACTTCTTAAACTAAATCGTGTGTCCCCATGTCAGCTATAGTGGCGCCGTGTGTTCAGTCGTATATTGTCGACGTTTCTTGTTTTTCCCCATGTGTTCCCTCGTTTTCCATGGTGCGTTCCCTCTGCCCTAAATCAAGAGTTCCTTGCGCGTTTTTCCCGTCCGTTTCCTCGGGATTTCCGAGCGTTTCACTGGCCCGTCATGTCCTTTCTCTTGCGCACCCACTTGCTCCCTGAGCGAACTCCATTGCGTTCTCGGTCTTCTCGTTTGTATTTTGCTAGTGAGATCACTGTTTGCTTCTTCTTTCCTTCCTAACCCTAACACTCGAACTAATCCAGGGCAAGTTGCCAACACAGTCCGAAATTCGGTNCCCCACTATTAAATTCAAGCCGGGAATTCAAGGAAGCATGTGAACTGGGTTCAAAATCAAACTATCCTTTTGGAGAGACGAACAAAAGACGTTTCCCGAAAGAACAGAGTAGTGAAAATTAATACTTATCTTTTTCCGGTTATGCATACAGTGTTTGAAGGCGTCTCCATCTCGCCACAATTCTTTTACGTTCGAAGCTAATTTTAATAAATGTAATCATACTTTCCATGAACATGCAGAGGTTGTCTCCGTGGCGCAATCGGTTAGCGCGTTCGGCTGTTAACCGAAAGGTTGGTGGTTCAGGCCCACCCGGGGACGAATTTTTTTCTGCACAAAAGTGTGATTCAATACAGATATGAAGTGCTTTCAATCAAAATATTTTGAATTTCAATAATTATTTTACAATTATTCTGGCGTCGATTTCACTATTTTTTTTACAGTGTTTCCTGTGTATTTCTCAATGCGTCCTTACTTCTTAAAGGTTCCAAACGTTACTTCTTAAACTAAATCGTGTGTCCCCATGTCAGCTTTCGTGGCCCCGTGCGTTCAGTCGTATATTGTCGACGTTTCTTGTTTTTCCCCATGTGTTCCCTTGTTTTCCATGGTGCGTTCCCTCTGCCCTAAATCAAGAGTTCCTTGCGCGTTTTCCCCGTCCGTTTCCTCGGGATTTCCGAGCGTTTCACTGGCCCCTCATGTCCTTTCTCTTGCGTAAGACCGCGCGTTTCCTCGCGCGCACCCACGTGCTCCCTGCGCGAACTCCATTGCGTTCTCGGTCTTCACGTTTGTATTTTCCTAGTGTGATCACTGTTTCCTCCTTCTTTCCTTCCTAACCCTAACACTCGAACTAATCCAGGGCAAATTGCCAACACAGTCCGAAATTCGGTAGTACGAAAACTTACTAAATCAAGCTTTTATTTCGACTTCCCGGCATAATCGGCATAGTGGGTCC